CCATGGTTTGTTTTTGCAGTCTTGATGTACCCTTAGAAAGGAAGTATGTGCTTTTGTAGGTCAGAAAAGGGATGGCTTGACTCATGTGAGATTTAGTCTCTGTATATGGCATTTTATGCAAATAAGGGATGGATTCCTAATTCCTTTCAATGTGATTTTAATATGTAATTTACATATGTACTGTTGTTTGCTTTTAAATATCAGCAGCTACGTTAAAGGTGAAGTAACAGCAGAAGGTATTCTCTAGTGAATGTAGACCTGCCAGATCACCACATTAGATCTGCTGCAATATCAAGTGCTCCATCTGTCAGAGCCTTGTTACACTATATTGATCATCATAATTAAAGAACAAGTAATTGATTGGTGTGGGTCTGGAGAACTTTTTCAAGTATCCCCTAGGCCAGGGGGTCTCAAACTGGGTGTCGGGACCCCTCGGGGGATTGCGAGGTTATTACAGTGGGGGGTCGTGAGCAGTCAGCCTCCACCCCAGACCCCTCTTTGCCTCCAGCATTTATAATGGTGTTAAATATATAAAACAGTGGTTTTAATGTATAAGGGGGGGGGGTCGCACTCAGAGGTTTGCTGTGTGAAAGGGGTCTCCAATACAAAAGTTTGAGAACCACTGCCCTAGGCCTTCTTGACCTCCTTCAGACTCGCTATGCCTGTTAAGGTTAATATACTTTCTATCATGAGTCACTCCTCTCATCTATAGTACATAATAAACTAGTATGTGTCTGGGTTTCCCCTGTATGGAAAGTAATACCTGTGCAAGTGTTTGTTTGAATACTTATTGTTATACATAGCTGAATGCATATGAGTTTTGGAACCTGGAACCTTCTGGTACCTGCATTCTACAGAAGCATGAATTTTTCATGACTTGCCATTAATGACCACATAAGAAAAATATAAAATTAGTGCATCCCTTTTTGAAATGATATTGAAAGTCTGAGCCTAATGCCAGAGAGTAAGAACCAGGGAGGAAGGGAATGATATAAACAGAATCTCTTCCATGCCGTAGCTCTCAGTAGACTTTTTCCCCATGGATGTGACACTGATTCAATTTTCTACATAAATTACATGCTCCTTGATCTGCTCAGTACAATATTCTTCCTGTGTAGCCCACATAGAAACCTTACAACTGCTATTCAGTTGATAGCTTTTTCTCCTGATCCCTTGATGTAGAACACACAAAAGATTAACTTCACCCTAGTTACAGAGTGCCCCAGCCCAAAGCATATGCGCCACTTCAGCTTCCTTTGAGGGACTCATAAGAAACATATGGTGATATTTACTCCCATACAGAAGGTCAGCACAAAGTTCATGCATCACTTAAGTGGTTTGCTAAGCAGAGTGTGACTATACAGCGATCAGGAAATTTCCACTGAACTTCTGCAATCATCCTGCGAAACTTTATTTCAGTTATTTGGGGTTTGTAAATGTATTGATCAACAAAATACAAGGAAGAAACAGATCAAAGACCTTTCGATCTAAAATATTTATTTGTACTGGACCAAAAAGGTGTCGCATTACTTTTATAACAAACAATATTTAATGAATGCATCATCTCTTTCTAATGCGAGCTGTACATTGTTTCTTATTAAAAATAATGTAGCAAAAAGAAACTAACTCAGGGCTTTGGTTTACTTTATTTTTCAATACGAAGTAAAAAGTGGACCAGTCACAAGTGATCTGAGATTAAACCCCACAGCTCTACTCAACCTAAATTTCAAGAATCCTTTAAAAAAAAACTTTTACACAGTATTGTTAAATCCCATATAAAATAATTTACTATTTTAAATATTGTTTAAATATTTTATCTTTCTTTAAAACTATTTAATTTATGGTTGGAATTTATTTTTGGCATAATGACAATTTATTTTTTAAATATTAAAAAGCTTCATATTCAATATAAAAACAGACAAAGTAATGTCCATTGTCCAATAATATTGTACATGATATCAGTGCTCTAGAGTGACCTTTTTAATGTGTCTGCCAGACAAGTCACTTGAGAGAACTCACTCACCACAGTGTAAGATCATAACAGATCACTATCAACATGTATCTTCTACATATTATATACACATAGAGTATATAGTATTTAATTTCCAACTTGATGCGTAGGGTTTTAAGTTTACTTCCCCCAGCATTTAGATCAGACTATCTTTTAGCACACATACATATAATACCTACAGTTTGGAAAGAAAATTTTACCTATTTTGCTCAGCCCAGCAGTCTGAAAATTTACAACTGTAAGCAGTATCTTCACATAACAAAATTAAAATTCACGGTTGTAATTGCTGGCAGCTGTCATCTTGCTATAAAATGGCAATATTTGTCTAAAAGGCTGTCTCCACTCTAGGAAAATTAGGACTCATAATTCATCATTGGTGCATTTCCATGTTGGTGATGATGGAGGCTTTAGTGTAGACAGGATGCTGGCGTCTTACCACCAAGTTGTCAAGCCCTATTCTTAATAGTGCGAAACATCAGTGGTAGAACACCTGAGATTTAGATATACTACGGCCTCCACCATTGCTACCTGTGGCAGAGTTGCCCCATAGGAAAACTATAGGTCCCACTTTTCCAAGTGTACACACAGTATGGTAACATAGGAGCTCAACGTCAAATTGTAATCCACTTTCCATCTGGCTACACAACTACTTCAACAATGAACTTTTGAGTGTAAATAGAAAACATTTTGTTTAACACTAAATTCCATTTGATGGGAAGCAGTGTAGTCTGACAAAACATTTCTACCACCATGTTACATGGTACCAAAAATTATGTCCATATCCAGCCAGATGGTCACATTAACAACGCTTTCTAAGCTAACATGTTTAGAAATAATTTTTTTTTGAGGGAATGGATAGCTCAGAGTATTGGTAAAGATCTTTGAGAACTACAAGTAGATGAGCAAATCTCAAGAATATATTCCATCGATAGTCACTCAACTAAACAATTGAATTTGATTCATCCTGTACTTGCACTCACTTTCGGGGAATATGATAACAGGTGAATTGGCTACTAGGAATTTTTGCTGACTCAGCACATTTTAAGAGCTTGTTTAATAAATATCTCTAAAGACATTTTCAACTTGAACACAAGTATTTGCACAAGAAAGTAGCCTGGCAGAGCATAACTCCTAGAATCAGGGAATTATACCATGTGACCTGGGTTTCCACACAAACTCAGATACTCATAGTGAACTGCTGATGAGCAATCTCCAAACCAAGAATTATTCGGTGAATAATTTTGAATAAATACATCCGAGAAACTGATTTCCTCATGGACAAATCAAAACCAAAGAGACTAAATTAACTAATCAGTATAAATTATTTGCTCAGCTCTAGATATTATAGGTGGGATTCTGTGCTGCACTGTGAGGCACAGCACGGGGGGAGGGGAGCTAACATAGCTTTAAGCCCCACCTTGCACCTCCTGATCCTGGCCTCCACAAACCCCTGGGTGCAACATGCACAGGCCTGTCTAAATTACAGCAACCTCCCTGCACTGCCCTATGGGAAGCAGCACTGCCAGGAATCTCCACAGTGCAGTGTATTGTGGCTCAACACCTCTCCCACTGCCAGCATGCCCCCTATGCCAGAAGAATACTCCCCCAGCTATAGAGAGGACTTTTTAGGGGCCCCTTTCACCACTCCAGGGTTTTTATTTGGCAGCAAGTGACCAAAGTGGGGATGAAGCTCTCACCCAAACCTTTCAACTGAATGTCTGTAATTCAAATCCAGCTAAAATCCGTAATAACCAAAAGTGGCTCCTATCCCATTGCTCTTACAGCTGTCAGTTGGATTTGCAGTCTAATATCCACTTCAATAAAAACCTCCCACAACTGGCATCAATTTGCAGCCTTCTTGGCAATCTCAGAACTGAACTAGCTTCTGCTGCCTAAAGAGAGCCCCATCCTCTGAGATCATAGTGCAGGCACATTGGCAGGACAGAGTAGGGACACTTTTCAGCACCTGTTTTGTAGACACAGGACTTCAGTCTCTAGCACGTTCCTTGAGCACCACATTCACTTGAGAAGTTTAACATTCCATGGGGAGAATTTTAAAGGTACAAATTTTAAATGTTAGGCACCTAATTACTTATTTGTGCACTTAAAACTTTGCCCATAGAATGATTTTCTAAAAAGGAATTCCTATTTAACGCTTCCTGGTGAATATTTACAGATTATGCACAGCAAGAAGAGTTTTCAGCATTAACCAATGCACTGAGCAAAAAAGCTAAGCAGTTTTCTTTCCATAATATGTATTGGTAAGTCAACAGAAAGATGATGCTGTATGTAAAATACTGTGCATGCATCAGACAAAACATTAATTCTGAACATTTAAATGGCTCATTTTGCTTTAGATTTGCCATTTGTTTTTGAGTTTGTATAGAGATTGTTATTTTTCCCACATTGGAAAGCAATCACAAAAAAGACCCGAGTCTCTCTTTAACAAATGAAGATGTAGAGATCTTGAATCCTGCATTTTCCTTTAAAAAAAAAGACAGACATAGCAAAATGGGTTCAACAAAACTTAGCAGTTCAAAGAATGTCTTTGCTGGAGAAGGCAGTGGGTATAAGCCCCAAAATTAAATTCCTTGACAAATCATTTGAAGTGTATTTTAAAAATTCAGCCCACACTTCTAGTGCTGTTAAAATTAGGATCTATGCTTCACAGCCGGCTCCCATTAAAGTTGATAGTGTCCATTTTGGCAGCCTCAGTTTTTAGGAACCCAACTTGACACACTTTTCAGGGGCCTGATTTTCAGTATTGCTGCGTACCTGCCCTCTGAAAATCAGGGGTCAGCTTGGGCCCCCACATTCACTAGTTGCTTCTGACAACATAAGCTGATGGGAGTGTTCCCTCATTATAGCGTTTGTGTCATTTTTTGGCTAAGGGCCTGATCCAAATCTCAACCCTACAAACTGAATGCCCTATTTACACACTTCAGTGGGAGTTAAGGTCCCTCAACATCTCACAGGCTGGAGTGAGCCCTATAGACATTTTACTGTTTTTAGATGGGTCACTGAGTAAGAATATATTCATGATAAGGCATGTTTTTTTTTTTAAAAAGACCATGTACTCATCTATTTGCTACATAGCATACCTTGGAGGATCACAGACATTTTTCAGAATTAAGCAAAATCTTTAGACACAGCCTCTACAAAGTTTGGTGCGGACATTAAAATGCCGATCGTACAAATGATTGTGAAGACAGAAAAGGCCATCAAGCAGAGACGGTCTACCACGGAGGCTGCAAACTTCCATTCATTGCAAATGGCTTCCTCCTCGTCCTGGTCTCTGAATCGGTTTGCAATATATCGGACCTCCTCCAAGATCTTAGCCAAATCTGGGTCACCTTCAGAGGGGTGTCCACTGTGCAGGAGAGTCTCTTCTTCTGTTGGCGAGCAGGTCATCCTCCCACAAATTACCCCAGAATCAGTGGTCGGAGTGCAATGGACCCCTTCCAGCCCCCGGAACCCAATATAGAGCATATTCCCATTACTGGCCTGTTGCCCACTCACAGTGTTCATATCCACACTTGACAAGCTACATCGACGCTGCTTATGCTGACAGGCAGGGCGTACTTTATCTTCCCCTGGTCTCTTCATCCTCAGGAACCAGGCACACCAGTTCAGAAGGATGATTCTTGTCTGGAAGAAGATTGAGAAGTAAAACATCTTTGTAAACAGAAAGACTGATCGTCATCAATACCTATTTGTATTGTAGAGCCCTGGTGCTCTCTGCTCCCCATAGGTGCGGTGGGTGCTGCCACACGCCCTGGCTTGAAGTGGTTTCCATTATATACAGGGTTTATTACAATTTGCCTAAACGGCTCTCAGCACTTCCACTATAAAAACTGTGTTCCAGTGCCCCTGTGCTCCCTGGTCTCTATTTGCTGATCTTGCCTGGTAGCCTAGTGGTGATGTCATAATTGTCCTACAGTCACTCTCAGCCATTGAGTCCACTGTCCCACTCCCAGCAGTGCTGCTAATGGCCATATGCAACTGTCAAATTATTACTGCTGTGAGCTGGTCTGACAGGTATCTCAGTAATGTTGATTTTTTATCACATTCATGTCAGAGCAGTGACATGACAAACTTTGCTGTTTTTAAATTGAAACTATGGACTTTCCTTTTATTAGAAAACAATTATTTTCAATGAGACTCGAAATAGTTTTGCTTTATACTTGAGGGAATAAATAAAATAAGTGTTACAAACAGAAATAAGAGTGAAAGAATTGCAGTCTAATACTTCAGTGCTTTTTGGAGGCAGTTGCTAAAAATATGCCATACTAATTGGATTGGATTGCTATATTTTACAGTGTTTTTACTATACTTGCACTCAACCCTTTTATGACAGCTGATTGCAAACTGTATAAAACAGATCTGCATAAACCACAGAGCACAGATGGAAAAGAAAAGTCCTTGGTAAAAAAGATTAGTTTCATTCCAATTGCAAATCAAATCACTAGGTTTCATTTTATTGTTTTTTGCACTGCTGTTCTCTAGCAGCCCTACAAAAAGGACAGATGAGTCCAAGAATGCTCCAGTTCAAATTCAGGCTTCCAAAATTCAGCTCAATCAGGATTTCAAAAAGTAATTCCAGTGTTTCTTTTTCCTAGTCATAATGTCATTTCATTGTTTCAAACCACATGTAACTCTTGCAATGTAATTTATATTGGATTTAGTCCATTTGTTATGATTTTAGAATGCCACTTAGAGTAGATATACTCCTGATGACATTTTTGAGGGTAAATGTTTTTGCTAAAGACAGATTTCACATGCCCTTGTCTTTATATTTTTCCCCACTAATGTAATTCAGCTAAAAAAATAGACCACCTTTATTAACCCAAGGCCTGATCCAAAAGCCTATTGACTCCTACTGAGTTTAAATGGGCTTTTGATCAGGTCTTCAGTGCCAAGTCTTGCTTATTTTACATGAGTATTCCAACTGATTCCAGTAGGAATATTTATGCAAATGCAGTCATCAAGATTTGGTTTTCTAACTCACACTGCATTGGTCTATACATAATCAGTTCTATTTTTGCATTGACTGATACTTAACCAGTTCTCTTTCAGTTTAATTTCCAGTGCCACCACCTAACTGTCTATAGTGTAAGCTCTTTGGGGCAGGGAATATCTAATGTCTGTAAGGCACTGGGGCATGGGACTGTATGAAGTAGTGATCACTCGTTCCTGCCTAAAATCTAAGGAGAGTACTTTCCACCTTTCACCTGATGCTGCAGGATGCAAGGTAAAATATATGGGAATTGAGAATGCACCTTTCCCTTTGCAATACCAACCTATGCAGGACTCATAGGGTATGTCCACACAGCAATTAAACACCCACAGCTGACCTGTGTCAGCTGACTGGGGTTCATAAAATTGGGGTGTAGACATTCGGGCTCGAGCTAGACCCCGGCCTCTGGGGTTTAGACATACCCTTAGCATGATCTCATCAATATTCAGTTACTATGCAAGATTCTAGTTCTCAGCCATGTGCTTTACATAAAAACAATAATTCATAGTACTAGCTCATGAAGATGGCATTATACTTCAGGGAGAGTGGAATATGACAGAGATACCACTTTTCATTTGTACTTGACATAGTCCCCTGGCTTGATGGTAAAGTCAGTATATAACTCATAGAAAGCTCAAAAATTTTCGCTTCCACCTTAACATACCTCTCAAAAAGATGGTCACAGCTGCAGCTGTTCACAAGTAAACAATACTTAAATCTATAGCAGCTGCTGTAATTAAATGAATGTGTTCTTATTGGACACAGTACTTCATGTTCTAGGGATTTTAGTTGTATCACAGGAAATTCTTAAGATAGAAACAAGATGACTATCTTAGTTCTTGCAAGTGTTTCCCTCGTACTGAAAAATGAGAGGCCCACAAAAGGAAACGTATGTGGACATTTTTACTCAGCTGTGAAGCTTCGGGGGGGGTGGGTGAGAAGGGCATCAAGAAGTAATGGGTCACCTACCACTATGACACATCTCTAATCTGAAAATGTATATAGTGAAAAAGTAGATATAAATGAACTGGAATCAGACCTTACCCACTTTGGCATTTTTCCCCCATCTGGGTCATGATGGTGATATTGCAGAACAATAACAGTGACAACAACAGAAAGGCCAACAATAATCATGGTGCTGGCAAAATACTGAGCTGCAAAAATAAACACATAATTAAGATATGTAAAATTATAGTGATATGCAGTGCTTCATACATCTATTATTGTGTGAATGCATACACCTACATAAATAGGTACTAATCTGACGGAACACAGTTGAAATGGAAAACAAATCTGATTCTACACACGCTACTTTTTAATGCATTTGGGAGAGATTTTTTCAAAAGCAGAAAGAGTAGTCAGGCTCCCATCTCTCACTGATTTTTCAGTGGGAGTTGGCAACTGTTATGTTCACAGTATATACATAGGGAAAATAGATAAAAGAATTAAATATTCATCCTGTAAAGTTGCAACATAACACTGCTTTATTTCTTAGAATCCAGAACCTAACACCCAAGAACCAAAACCAGAGAGCGACAAAACAGTCTGCTCCCTAAGAAAGAGAGGCAGAACTTAGCCCACTTAGCCCACTGACATAAGACACATATCAGACTCTTCCTTACAGAGCCCCCTACCCTGCAAACAGGACCAGGAAACCCCATACATATTTAATTACATACATGTGTAATTTTAACAGTTTTTAATACAACATAAGCACCTGACTCTTTTTAGTGCCTTTGAAAATCTCCCCTTTCGTTATTGTTGTTATCATTATTAGTTAGTTGGTTAATATCAGAGAGAGTGGTTGGGGTTTTCTGCTTATATATCAATTGCCATGTGGAGGAACTGTAACGGAAAATTCCCTCCCCCTTCCAGAGTATATTTCAATCTGCTGTTTTATAGAGCCCTCGCTTACTGTGTTCCAAGATGCAACAACTGCATACTCCAAAGGAAATTCTTTGGCATTATCCCCAGCGACATCCCATTTGTTTTCTTTATTATGCTCCAGATCTTCCAGCAGACCAGAGACAACCCCCCACAAGAGGACCCTGCTTATGACAAACTTCATTGGATGCCAAGGTAGTAAGAGAGGGAACTATTATAAGGCTTGAGTAGGTGGGAGGTCTGCAGTGACCAAACACTTCAGCGAGCCCCTGTGGGCACCCTGCCCACTCTGCAGTGTCTCCTACGCCCGAGTGGTTTCTCACCCAAATGTCCCTATGTGACCCCCACTGCGCCTTTGTCCTCCCCCAGTGTATCCCAGCACATGTTCCACAACCATTCCCATTGTCCCCATAGTGTGCTCCCTATCTTCCTCCCAATATACGTTCCCCCAGAACAGGGGTGGGCAAAATTTTTGGGCTGAGGGCCACATCTGAGTGGGGAAATTGTATGCAGGGCCAGGGCAGGGGGTTGGGGTGCGAGGTGTGGTGTGCAGGAAGGGGTTCAGGGCAAGGGATTGGGGCAGAGCAGGGGTGCGGGGTGTATGAGGGGGCTCAGGGCAGGGGGTTGAAGTGCAGGAGGGGTGCAAGGTGCAGGCAGGGCGTTTACGGCAGGGAGTTGGGGTGTGGGGCTCCCTGCATGGCTGCCCTGTCCCTGGCCCCGTGCCGCTCCCAGAAGCGCTGCAGCCACTGGGGGGGTGGGGCGGCGGAGGGCTCTGCATGCACTGCCCTTGTTGCACCTCCAGGTACCTCCCCCGAAGCTTCCATTGGCCGCGGTTCCCCGTTCCCGGCCAATGGGAGCTGTGGGGGGCAGTGCCAATGCATGGAGGCCTCTGCCCCCCCCCACCTGGGGGCCACAGGGATGTGGTGCCAGCGGCGCCGCGGGCTGAATCCAAAGCCCTGAGGGGCCAGATCTGGCCCGCAGGCCGTAGTTTACCCACCCCTGCCCCAGAAGGAAGTGCTGAGCAGCCTCGATTCCCACTGAAATCATTGCTCTGCACCATGCAGGATCAGATCTAAACATCTCTGATTCAACTGCTGTAAGCACACACATCATACACTTTCTAACTGCGCCTTATTTTTGGTTTTGAAGTGATTTAATTCCAACTTGTCTGATTAAAAAAAGAGAGCGAATAAGTTAAGGTTACCTATTAACGGCACAGAATCTGATGTTGCTGGCATAATTTCTGCCACAAGTAGCATAAAGACAGTAAGAGACAACAAAACTGTTATACCTGAAAGATAAATATGAAGTACAGAATTAGGACAGCAGCTTATCAGTTAATTGCTATCCACTAAAGAACAGATTTGAAGAAATGCTGTGTGAAATTTATTCTCACAATTCATACCTTTACACTGATTTACTGATTGTACTCAATCCTGTTCTCTTTTGATACTACTTTAAAAATTCCCATTTTAGAGGGTAGAAATCTTGCCAAACTAGATTTAATTTTTTCTAAATCTGTGCTTTTAATAAATCTAATACAAAAGCCTTCATGATTAGGTCCCAATTTTTGTGCATTTGTACAAATGTAAGAGCTGGATCTAACATACCTCTATCCCGATATAACGCGACCTGATATAACACGAATTCTGATATAACACAGTAAAGCAGTGCTCCGGGGGAGGGCGGGGCTGTGCACTCCGGCGGATCAAAGCAAGTTCGATATAACGCAGTTTCACCTATAATGCAGTAAGATTTTTTGGCTCCCGAAGACAGCGTTATATAGAGGTAGAGGTGTAACTTATTTTTGGCCTTGTTAAACCTTGCTATACTAATAAAGCACTGTTCACTTTGCATCACTGTCCAAGGGATTTGATAAAATATGACAAATTAAAGTACTCCTTGTTTTATGTTCCATCACCCCTTTAGAAAAGTTCACGAGGGAGTCTTTTGTTTTGAGCTTTCAATAACTTGATACAGTATGTGATGAACTGATCAATAAGTTTGGAAAACATGAAGCTAAAAAGTACAGTAGTTAATCCCAGAAAACAGAAATTGCTCTGGGAGAGAGACGGATGTTCTCTCTGAAATTAGCTGTTGATCTCTGAGTTGCTTGCTCTAAGCAGTTCTGATACTGATTTCCGGATTTTGATTTTTGTTGCTCACTGATCTGCCCCTCTGAATATGACTCAGCTGTTGTCCGGATGGGATCTCAGGACTAGATTGGCACAGAGGGAACCACTGTCAGTTGGAAAGGGACTGAAGGACAGGAGAGCACATCCTAAAAATACAGAGGGTAGTCAGAAGTCAAGGGCTAAGGAAGCTGTTCTGAAATCCAAGAGAAACATACACTAAACATTAAAAGGGCACTTGTGCAGAGCTGCCCAGTTTATATTCTATCTTTTGAACAACCATTTTCATTAAATAGAAATGAATACATTTGTTACGTCATACCTTAACTATCATCACACAATCCAACCTTTAGCCATAAATTTACAAAAAGAAAATAGCCTTACCACTAAAATATTTAAATGGAAGGAGCCCAGCTTTTTCAAAAGGATGCAAAGGGTGACTCCTGGCTCTTAATGTATCACTTACTAGTAAGAGGAATATAAACTGAAAATAATGCCAGACTAAAATGCCAATATACATGTTCTTTACAACATAACCTTTATTCAGTGAAATTATTTTTCCCTCCAGCACGTAAGTGTCAAACAGTAGCCCTATTTGTAATACAGAATTATACAGCTAAACATTGTAATGCTACTGGTATGTTTTTGTTGTTTATGTAACTCCTAGCTCCACCCTACCTAGTAGTATGACCTTTTCTTTCATATCTTTGCTAAGACACCACGGTAAGATATGCTTTAAAAACACCTACATACACTTATTAGATAGAAATGCAGCAAGACAGACAAACTTTTCCCCTGAGCATGCTGAGGCTACACTGAAATCAGAAGCCTTTTATAGAGCCAACTTTTAAAATACTTGGTAATGTGTTTACCTAGTGAGATCTTCTCTCCTGAGTCAGCTGGAAGCAGAAAAACTAATAGGGCAAGGGCCGATATCAGCATGCAAGGAATGAGAAGATTGAGTCCATAATACAGAGTCCTACGTCTCATAGTCACTGTGAATGTCACATCTGGGTAAGGTTCTTTACAACAGTCATAAAAACTCTCACTCCTCTTTCCAGGAACTCCTGCATAGAAAAAAAAATAGGGAGAAAAGCAGAAGCTAATCTGCATATAACCTATGTTAATGTAGAAGTTACATTTAGACAAAAGTCTCCAAGTATCATCTCTGAAGTCCCACAGCAGGTAAAATGTTCCTCTTTAATTCCAATTCTCTCTGTTACATGACCAAAATTAGGTAATAAAGAATCTGAGTCAAAAAGGTTTTCAATGAACTTGCAATGATCAGAGTTCTCTCAATGCCTCCACCTTCTCCATATGTTCTTCACCTTTTATCTTTTTTTCTGCCACATTTCAAATGCCACTGTCTCAGACCTTCATAGCGTATACCAATCCACGGCTTGGTGACCCTAACATATAGCTTCTTTTTTCTGATATCTACAAAGAATGCTGGTTCATATGTCTGCCAAGGATCTGTTAGGTCAATGGACTGATGGATCAGCATGCATTTGTACTGGTACTTGCTACCTGAGCTGTGTACATTTTTACTATCTGAAAAAAAAAGACGGGGCCTGATCATCATTTACACAAAAATCCTTTTATACTGATCTACCTTTCCATCTACTTTAAAGCCCCTTTGCACTCCCAAAGTACAGAGTGTAAATGAAAATCAGGTCCAAGGAGCTTACCTACTAGATCCCACTCTCCATTTGAAATGTATCCAGATATATCTGCTTCTTGCATTTGTAAGTCCAAGGACCATCCACCATAGGTCCAGGATCCAAACTTCAGATTACACTTCTGAACATCAAATGGAAACCAGCGCACATCTATGTAGCATGAGCTCTTGAATATGCCTAAAGTAGAGGTTAAAAAGAACAAAAAAAATCAATAGAAATTCTTGCTTTACGTACTATTTCATCTGTTTTTGTAACTGATCCCTGTTACACACTGCAGCTGCCCAGTACTTACTCTGAGGGTATGTCTACACAGCAAAGAAAAATCCGCAGCTGGCCTGTGCCAGTCGACTTGGACTCGCAGGGCTGCAGCCCAAGCCCAGAAGCGTACACAGCAATGAAACAGCCCCATAGTCTGAGCCATGTAAGCCTGAATCAGCTGCCATGGACCAGCCGCAGGTTTTTCTTTGCTGTGTAGACATGCCATAAAAGCACACTTAATACACGTAAGGTACATCTCAAGAAGTGAAAAGGAAGAGCATTCAAACTTACTATAGTAATAGATTTGCAGAATCTATATATTGACTATATATCCTTTCATTGAATTGCATAGGTCACTTCTCTAATACCTTTTCCTGGTGTTACTATTCTCTTCATGATATGCCTGGGCTGAGATTTCTGTTACTAAATATAATGAGAGGCCCTGCAAGATGATTTACTGTCTTTTAAGATTTACATAACATTGGCTCGTTCCTTTCAAGAAGGCTAACCTCTATTTGTTATTTGTTGGGTTTATAGTATAAAACAGTGGGCAATGTTAAGCATGACAGATCAAGGACCCATCACTCAGCACCTTGCAAGATCAAGTCCATAAACATCAATTGGTGCTTCCTATGAGCAGAAGGGTAGGAGACTCCATGGACCATACTAAGGACCGCAGTAGATTTAATTTACCTGGGAAGCACTTGGATACTACAGGGATAGTCTCTCTATAAGACCCTAAGATAGACAAAAGAAACCTGATTCTAAGAATTATACTCTAGGTAACAGAAACAGCACCAAGTGTCCAATCAAACACTGATCACTATATTTCAAAATTTCAAATATGAAATACAAGTATTCTCAGGAATGAGCTACAGACCAAAAGAGAAAGTGTTTGGTGCATCATTTCAAATAGCAAATCCATCCAAGAAATTAATAAACTACTTACTATAAGAAAGAATTCATGAACAGAGAGGCCAAATTCATGGAATAAATTATTCATGTTTAATTATTCCCTCAGCTTTAGGAAAAAAATATTCTTTGTCTGTTAAAAGGTCATATTTTTATTTCTATTCATAATTCCAGACTTCTGAAATCGTAAATTGATAATAGGAAATGGGGCTAAACCAGTGATATGACAGAGGATTTACATCATTGCAATTGATCATTTATTTTTGTATGGGGGTATCCATGCAAGGATGTGTTCTTAAATGATGCATGCATAGGTGCATATATGTAGTTTATATAGTTTTAAATCTAGCAAACAGGTACTATCTGGATTTATATGTACATCGCTACCTCGATATAATGCGACCGGATATAACACAAATTCGGATATAACGTGGTAAAGCAGTGCTCCGGGGGGGCGGGGCTGCGCACTCCAGTGGATCAAAGCAAGTTCAATATAACGCGGTTTCACGTATAATGCGGTAAGATATTTTGGCTCCCGAGGACTGCGTTATATCAAGGTAGAGGTGTAGTATGAAAGAGTTTTTATCCAAACTGTGAGATGACTTCATATATGAGTAGGCGAGAGCTATTACATGAAAACAATCTATTTCTTACCTGGGGGTAGGTATTGGCAATGTCCTGAAGAATTGACTAAAACATTGGTATGAAACGTCGCATCAAATCGTTCATCAGCACTAGAATGGGAGGGAAGACGAGCTGAATTACACTCTGGTGGAATCAATGAGGTCTTAAAGAATTGCAGTATTCTTACAAAATGTGGATTTCCCCACCCCCCAAAACCAAAAACCTCTTGATTGTTTTCTCCTCTAACTCCAACTTTATCTCAATGTCGTGTACCTGACTTCAGTGGAGTTACTCCTGATAAACACAGCTGTAAATCAGCAGTTAATGGTCTCATTTGCGCGCTCTCTGATCAACTGGTCTATAATCTACGATTAGATTAATTACAATGGCATCGCTGATTGGTTTCAATTTGCGAAATAAACCCTTCCCAAAAATCCTAGAGGAACTCTACAAGGAGAGCTGGCCTCCTCTTGTTGCCAGCAGCATATAACTTTCATTAGCATTAAGAGGAGTTAATGAACATTGAGAGGATTTATGACCAATTTCTCCTCCTTGCCTGCCCCCAATACAGCCAATTACTTTTGCTCAGTGAAAAGACTATTTAATATAGCTTAAAGCCTGGTCAATCCCCACTGACATCAACAGGCGTCTTCCATTCACCTCTGTGGACACCAGATCAAACTCTGAGTATTTAACTCAGAATTGACAAATCAGGAGGCTGGTAAACTAAAATCAGCCCTTATTATTGTTTCAATTTTTAATCTAATAGTGCTGTGAAATAATATTACTATTAGTGCTGTTTGTAATGCCTTAGATCAGAGGTCATCAACTGGTCGATTGCGATCGACTGGTCAATTCTGGAGCTTCTGCCAGTTGATTGTGATCTCCTGCTGCTAAACATCTGGTGGCGCAGCGAGGCTCAGGCAGGCTCCCTGCCTGCCCTGGCCATGCGCCGCTCCCAGAAGCGGCCAGCACGCCCCTGAGGCCCCAGGAAAGTGGGGAGGCAGGGGTCTCCCTCTGCATGCTGCTCCTGCCTGCAAGCACCCTCCCCCCCCACAGCTCCCATTGGTCAGGAATGGGGAACTGCGGCCAATGGGAGCTGCAGGGGGCAATGCCTGCAGAGAGGGGCAGCATGCGGAGCCATGGGCTGCAGGGGCATGATGGCTGCTGCTGGGAGTGGCGTGGGGCTGGGGCAGGCAGGAAGCCCGCCTTAGCCCTGCTGCACTGCTGACCAGGAGCCACCCAAGGAAAGTGCCTCCCAGGAGGCGCCCGCACGCCAACCTCCAGCCCTGAGCCCCCTCCCAGAGCCAGCACCCCATACCCCCACCTGCACCCCAACACTCTGCCCCAGCCTGGAGCCTCCTCCTGCACCCAAACTCCCTCCCACAGGCTTGCACCCCAACCTCCTCCCATACTCTGAAACTCTTGTCCCCCATCCCAGACCCCAACCCCCTGCCCCAGCCCAGTGAACGTGAGAGTGGATTGCACTTAAATTCAAAAAGTAATCTTGGGCATAAAAAGGTGGGAGCCCACTGCCTTAGATTATCAGTATAGATGCAACTGTTATTAAGATTAGGAATGAATTAGCTTCTTTCATTTGTTTTAAAGCGTTGCCTAATTGCGTATTTGTGTGTGTACAAAAAAAAAATTATTGCCAAGTGATATCTCAAATACATTTGACCTACTATGAGGAAGTTCTACGGCTTATTTTATACAGAAGGTCGCTCTAGATGGTCACAGTGTTCCCTTTTGGCCTTTGACTCTGCCAGTAATGATTTTCTTAGGAGATACACAAGCTAGAAGCTGCTATACGTAACATATATTAAAATGAACCAAAACCAAACCAACCCAAAAAAGCCACTCTTTGTTCCTGAGACAAAAGTTTAATGGATTAACTGCCTTAATTCTATTTATGTTATCAACAAAGATTTTTAAGCTAGTCATAATAGCAAATAGCTATGTATTGTTGACTGTTCAGGCCTGTTCCAGGCCTCCTCCTTTCTCCAGGCTATTAAATGAATTTGGGGTGAGTGGAGTGATGGGTATTTGGTTTGTGCCATGTCTTTTTGTTTGTAAATCATGTATGTGTGTGTAACTGGTACATTTTAAAAATCATGAAATGAGGAATACAGATTCTGAGGCAGCTCTCAACTCATGATATTTCCAGATGTTTGGGATGCTCCAGTGACAAGGTCTGTAAAAGTACCACCTGAATGGAACGTCTTACAAGGGTTTGGGGTGAGACTTTCCTTTTGCCAGTGTCCCACGAAGGATTCTTTTGTTCTATATATGTGCAGTAGGATAGTACTCTGCTGGTAAGTAACCCTAAGCCTAAGTAACATTCACCGCTCGTTTAAACCAAAATCACCCCATTTGGGTAAGAATTTTTGCCACTATCAAAAACAAACCAGAAGCTTGGTGTAGACAGTTTGGTTTTAGGGACTCCTAGCTGTGGACCTGCACCTGAGAAAATCCCAGAAAATACAGGTGAAATTAGCCTGGGCCACGAGGAAATGCTGCCAGCCCCTCTCGAGACACTGAAAATAGGTGACAGCACCCTCAGTCATCTGCACCCTCAGTCATCTGTCTCCATGGCACAGTCTGTGCTTTAGCTGATCAAGAAACTCACATTATCTACAGGATGGTTTGAACTTGACGAAGCTCTGCTCTCCCTGCCTATTAGCAGTTTAGATTCTTCTCAACTTCAAAAACAGCATCAGCAGAGTAGGCTTTGGATCTGAACTAGGGTGAAGGTACAATATTCATGAGCAAGAAGGATAAGAGGCATTGTCAGTGAGTTCAGATGCAGAATTAGGGAGGGCTGTGGATTGAGGGCTAGGGTGAATAAGGAGTATTAGGAAAGGGGTCGAGTCTAAAGGACTCACACATAGCAAATTATCCATAATTGAAACTGAGGGTGAGAGGAAGCTGTGCGCCCTTCTAGCACAGACCCACTAATCAATACTAAGAAGCTACCTTTATTGCATGCATTGCTTTTAACCAATCTGTCTGCTAAAAGGCAAAACAGAATTATTTTGTATATACCATAGATCGAAGCATTGATTTTGTAGACAGTACTGCAATTTAGGTCAGATATTCCAGTGAGGATTGGTAATTGCATTGATATATTTTTGAATACTGTAACTCAGTGCAGTCATGGAACAAGGCAAGAAGTGTTTGATTAATAGCTACATATACTCAAACCACTGTATGCTTCCCAATAATTAATATATTTAAAAAAACTAATTCTGAATAATTTGCAAAACAGAGAAAAGAGCCAGATCTGCAAGAGTAATTTGACCAACTGTAGTTACATTGTTTCAAGTTATGAACAGAAAGTTTACATATTAAGCAATGTAGTTGTCAGTGTCTCTGAAACAAATTAATGTGAAGTCTGAAGACAGGAACAGAGCTAAATTTTGCAACTGTGATGTGCATGGATATTGGTTAGAGAATGTGTTTTCAGAGAAATGAAAGCAGAAGATGCAACTCATTCACTTTAAAAGAAAAAAGGTCCAGTTCTGCACCCCCTACTTACATTAAATACTTACTCATGCAAATAAATGCACTGACACCAGTAAGGGGTGCTGGCTGAGGCCCAAACTAATTAGAGTTAAAAACAAACATAATGCTGTGTAACATGAGTGGGGACACTGAGGTACATAAAGGAATATTAATGTACTGGGCCAGATTCTAGCCCTCTCTGCCCTCCTACACCTCCCCCCAGAGGCTGAGCCATGCACCACACAGTTATTCCTGAGGATCTTAGCCTGCCCCTCTCCCCCCGATTTCTGGGAATTTTGCGTAGAGTAAAATTTTCCAAAGCATCAAAGTGACTTAGGTGCTTAGTCCCATTTTCAAAAGAGACTTGGGTGCAGAATTCTGATTGAAAATCATCAGTAGGATTTAGACCTCTTACTGCTTTTTAGAAATGGGACTAAGGCACATTTGAAAATTCTACCGATAGTCTAGATTTTTAATTGCTTTCTGAAGTGCAATGCTTCAAATTGAGATAGTTAGCTACCATGTTTTTCCTAATGAAGCTTTAGAACTTCATCACAGGGTATCATCATGATATGGATATAATAATATGGTCACATAGAGGGGAACAGAAGAATCAGACAGTTTTTTAAGAGGTGAAGATACTGATTGGTATAAATTGAGATGAAACAGCTCTTGACTTAAACACAAGGGCAGTTCTGACATGGAGGCATCTCCTCAGAAAACGAATAAATGTAATGCAGTGTAAAACTGTGGTGCACATTCCAGTGATGGGCTCCTAGGCAGCAGGCAAATGGCTAAAGAGCCATGCCACTAACTTTTAAGGTATTATGTAAATTATCAGCTGCATTCACTGGCAGCCACTGATGAGCAAGGAAAGGAACTTTCCAAAGTGGCTTTAGTTTGCATGTACGTGCAGCTAAAATAAAATACCAGGACTCGAGATCTACCACTGCTCAAACACAGGTCTTCTATTTGTACAGCAGACAGAGTTGGACTTAACAATAAATATGCTATTTATTATTGCAATAGGCAGTAAGTATGCCAATGTAATTACTACATTCACCTCTCCATATTGGGACTGCAACACATACTCCGTACAGTAGGCCTGCCCCACAGATGGCCATCCTTGGAGTAAGTGTGAAGGAGAAAAATTGTTGCTGCATGCAAGGGAGCTTGACTCCATACCAGCTCTGCCCAGGAGACTGGGGGACGAGGGGAAGTTGGTAGTATCCTAAAGAAGGAGACGGGGGCTGTACTCAGACTCATGAAGGAGACGTGCATGAACCAAGGTCTGCAGTAGCAGTCGTGGTGAAGCTGTGAAGCTGCCAATAGTATGCCACTGAGGTGATTTCGATTTTCTCTCCCCCTAACGCCTCACATAGTTGACTATGTATATGTATATATTAAAATGTATTTTGTATCCTAAAAGCAGATGGTGAAAGTCTACAGAATAAAAAATCATCACAGAGTAAAAAAACTAAATTGTGGTTATGAGGCCTAATTAACATGGAATGATGAAAATACTGAAGTCAGAACATTGTAGCTGGAAAATGATAATATCACTAATAAGCACACCACTAATATGGGTGTTCACCATTTTTGCAAT